TTCTACCAATTAAAACAAACTTATAGGCTCATCAAACGAACAAGAGAAAAGCAACCAGGAAACAAAGCAGACAAGACTTTTTTTGCCAAAACTAGTTGATAATGCATCGCGATGAGACGGTAAGGAGGGAGAGGACCCTCAAGTTCTTTTTTTCACATCTGAGCCCCCTATATGGGTAGTTCGTTCAACCCTTGGTCAACAAAAAGCACGGGATGACAATGGAAGAATTGTGGCTAACTTCTTATAAAGATCGTTCAGTTTTTTTTACAGAAGCAGATCAATGAAAAAACCGGGTACAAAACAACAGACGGATACGAGATCATCGTTGAGGCATGTGAGCACATTTGGGAGTGTGACTATCATACCTTAGTAACAGATCTAGATAACAATGATGACAACAGCACAACGCTTTCCTCTTCTAAATTGCCGAAATCGATTGTTTCTAAAAGCGCCTACTACACACCTTTAAGTGCACGAGATGCATTTGTGGGCGGTAGGACTGAAAACTTTTGCCTTCATTGGATAAAATGAGATATAAATCAACACTTTCGTTACGCTGACATTTGTTCTCTTTATCCCTAAATTAACGCAAACTGTTCCTACCCCGTTGAACATCCATTGGAGATTTTAATTAAACCTGTTTTTGCTGAGATAGGAGCAAAAAGGAAGACGACAATTAATTTACGCTTGATCTGAGAACCTTCGATCAAAAAATTATACTGAAAGTTCCCGGCTCTAATTAATGTCAACCGAGAAGTTAAGTCGAAGATAGAATCTTAAAAACTTTTGGTTTGGAAGCATTAAAGTTCGTCTTGCCGCCGGGTAATCTAATGATACCTGTCCTCGCTTTCAAGCTTTTCTTTCATTTTCAAATAAGCTGCGTCGAAGAATTTGCTGTTAACAAAAAACGCCAAATCGTTTGTGAGACCATATTGCAACTTGAATACAAACATGGAAACAATCATCTCGACCGATCTTTTTGGGAATTTTTTTGTAACAGTTGAAATCAAATTTGCGTTTTTAAATGGCTATCGAGTATTAGATATCCTAGAGGTGTATTAAAGGAAACCGTGAAAACAAAAGCAGTTACCCTTTCAAAAAACATAAATTTTTTGTTGAAAATTAAAACTGAAGCAAGTAGACTTTTGCAGCATTTTGAACTCAACGAGGACTCAAGGTTGGATCCTGACAAAATTTGTTACATGAAGGTCTCCATTTCATTTCCAACCTTCTCTTGAATTTCTTTCGGGGACATCATAGAAAGAACGAAACATACAATATTTTAATATATCTTCAATTACATTGATGTTTTGGAACATTTCACTTCAAATTGAACAATGAGCACCACAAGAAGGTTAGATGCAAACCATGTCGGATATGACTTGATGTATCCACATTAAAAATATATTGTTTTTGCTGCTATTCTGTTCAAAAACCAATGTTTTGCAGGCTATATTTACAACGGTACATGCACGTACTGTCCTCTACAGGTACATGAAGCGAGTGAAAAAGACTACAAATATACTGTATTGTGACACAGACAGCATTTTGTACTTTGCTCAAACGGAATCGACGACGGGGACACAGAACAGAGACATCCCATTAAGAAACACTTCGGGGCATGACAGATGAAACTCCAGAAAACATTGAGTTTTTGAAATTTTATAGATTTTTGTTTAAATCAAAATAACTTCTCGCTGACTCTCTTTTTATTCGATCTGCAGCAAAAATCTTAATTTATTTTTAGTGCGATTCTTAATTACAATTTTCTCTCACTTTCAAATTGTTTGTCAGAAAGAATTTTGAGCTCGTTGCAACACAAAATTAACTCGTTTCATCTTCTTCCCAAACCCCACGCATAAAGAAAAAGCAGGTAAACAGACAGCGTGGAATGGTGAAAGAAAGATTTGGAAAGATTGAAAGAGAAAAGCATCACTAATATGATGGGCTCTCAATTTACAAGTGCTACACTTATTATATAATTTCCGAGAAGGATGGCGGCAATCAGTCTCATTATATTTCAGATGAATGCGAAGATCAGATGTGCAATGGCTTCTATGGTAAAAGTATTTTTTTCTTGAGTGGTCCAGAAAACTTGGATCGCAATCAAACTGCCTTCAATCATTTATCATTTGCAGTTTTTATTTTTTTCGAATGGCATCAAAGCATGGTTGTTCAGAATGTTACAGCACAGAGCGTCATCTATGATTTGCAAAAAGTTTCGAATATGGTCCGCGAGTTCTTCTATCCAAAAAAAACGAGAAATAAGTCAGCTATATAAACAAGAAACAAGAAGACGGTTTGCCGCCAGAAACCGACTGGGAATCAATCATGTATTTTTTTCAGTTAATTATAAGACTCTACCTTTTTTGTGTTAGTGGTTGTAATTGTCAGTCATCTATCCATATATCCAAATATCTCTTTATAAAATCGTCATTTGAATCTGTTTTTTTTTCGTAGCAACCATATGATTGGATCAACTATCCACCATTCAGTTCAAACCTACTCTAATTTTAAAAATCTTCTGTTATTGTTTGACTTCATTGCTATGTTTTTTATTCAGATCATTGACTCTTATCACGCTTTCACCCCGAGTTTTTGCCCGAGTGTGAGCGCGAAAAGCTGTTGACAGCTTGGCTTACGTAAACTGCTGTTCAATTTTGTAATTTATTGTGCGACGAGGACGAGCAAATAAACGACGGCAACGATTACATGTTAAGTATTGACAGTGAAGGCAAAAATTGTAATATGCTTTTGAGATTGGATGCATCTGATTCTGATGTTTCTCTTATTCAGAACTTTGCTGTTTTAATACAATTTCTCTTATCACAGAAATGAGGGCAAAAGAATGCATCAACAAGGATAGCAGGAGCAATTGATAAACAGTATGTCGCTACAAAAAAGATTTACACAGAGCAGCAGCAGAATTAACAACTAAGAAAGACAACACAAGGCAATGTTTCGTTGCAGGATCCACGAGTTAGTACTTCTTCTAGTGCATTGGTGCTGTTTTAAGGAACGAACTCAACAAAAAATTTTGTCTCTCGCCAATTGTTGAACTGTTTACGTACATCTTCCTTATCAGTGGTAATCGTAGTGGCAAGCACGGTGAACAATCAGCAGATTCGTCAACATCCGATGCATTTGAGAGCCTCGTTTGATGACGATGACGAAAAAATAATTTTTCTATGAGACAATTTCTGATTGAATTGTGTATTATTTTATTGTCGCTGTTGCTTCATTCCTTTATTTTTTATTCGAAAATAGATAATTGTTGTCTGTTACAATTAATCGATATTTTCCCAATTTTTTTTAAATATTTAGGTCAGGCAAACAGTTTGTGTTTGTGTGTGTGAGTGTGTGTGTGTGAGTGCGTTTTTGTGCGTGTAGTTTTTGATCAACCAGCAAATGCAAGGCCGGAAAAACTTTTTTTTATCGAACTGATAATGACAATTTTTACTCTATTGTGATTCTTAAAATCGCGAAGAGAAGAAAACAAAAATTAGTTTTTTTTATCTCTTGACTTTTTGTGTTTTATATAAGTTGGGCCAAATTAGATCGAGCCTCAATCACAAAATCATTTTTATTTTCGCCAAAAACACTACTTACTTCAGTATTTTGTCTTCTACTTAGGGTTATTTTTACCGTCGCCTTTTCCCAGGGCAAAAATTAGCAGCAGCAGTAGTAATAGTAGTTTTGGTGAGATCAAAGAGACTGGGAGGCTGGAGCTGATGTGGAGTCCAAATGGAACTCTTTCTGTTGTACGAGACAAGGCTCTGACGATGTATTTGTTCGCTGAAAAGAGTTTGGTATGTATGCTTGTTGCCTTGTGTATTTTGCTGCTGTGCCTAAGATCTTCCAATTGTGAACAGAAGACTGCTTATTTTAAATTATTATTTTTTTTGCTACAGTTCCTTACTAACAGTTCCAGTTTCGTAACAGCTATCATTCATTTGCAGGAGACAGCGCCTTAGGTGAAAAAAAACATACACAATAATTCCCCAAAAGAGCGAATCTTATGTGTCCAACCAAAAACCTAGCAGAGCTCTATTGCGCTAGACCTCAGTCTTTTCCGAATTGTTATTGAGATTTCATAAAAGAACATTTTGGTCCTTTTGATTGATCTCTCGTCCTCTTGTCCCAATTTCATGCCTTTTTGCATTTTTGTAACAGACGAGAGTATCCACAAAAAACATCAGCGTCGTCGTCAAACAGAAAAAAACTCCAATTTTTTTTAATCCCCAGAGCTGCAGAAACAGTCGGTCACAGAAAAGTGGACGGGTTTTTCAACACCCCAACACATCAGTTACAACTAGCAAATCAGATCACATAATTTCACAAGAAACCAGTCCAGACAAACTGCTCGCTGCGCTGAAACTAGAATAGGAAATTTTAATATTATTGCCTCCTTCTTTTCCTCCTTCTGCCAATGATAAATGACGACGCAGCAGCTCGAAAAATTTGACTTTATCCCTGCAAATTATCTTCAACAACAACAACAACAGGAAAAAGTTTTCAGGACTCAAGTGAAGGAAATGGCCTTCCACCTCAACAACAGTTGCCAAAAATTAACAAAGAGGCAAAAAAGGAGGAGCAGCAGGAGGATGAGAAAAATGTGCTCCTTGAAGAACATATAAATTTTTACTGCATTATCAGCCAGTAGCGCCTTCAAAAACTAACTAATGCGCATATTAATTATCTTTAATTTAGAAAACAGTCAATCCGACGTCTTTCTTCTCACGTCTGATAAAACAACGAGAAGTGGCGGGGTACATCAGCAGTAGCAGTTAGTGATATGACGTCAAAGATTATGTTTGACAAATTTTGAAATTTTTGCCAATAAAGGATGAAAAAATCCTACCAATTACTAAAACCTCTTAAGATTTGATTTCGCTTAAAAACTCAGCTGACAATTTCACACGAAAAATTACGCTCCAAAATTTATAAATGGCAGCAGCAACAAGAACAAGAGACGGGCGTATAAAAGAGGCCGCCGTCAAATGACGACTACGAACACCAAGAACAACAACAACAACAACAACAACAACAACAACAACAACAACAACAACAACAACAACAACAACAACATAACTGACAAGCGAGTAGCCGAGAGCAAGACGAAGCACACCCATCGCAGCAAGTTTTGCAAGAGGGCTTTCGCGCAAAAAAGCTGAGCAATTTTTGGAGTTTTCATCCACTTATCCCAAAATCAAGCAAAAGATTATCAAATATAAACGTCTGAGTATTGGCAGTTGAGGCATTAACAATATTTGGTCCATGGACAATGCCGATATGGATAAAATTGCAAACCAGATTAGTGTTACAAAAAATCGCTCAGTTGAAGTTGATGTCTTGAGTCGATACCTGAGGGTTCAACCTAAGAAGAACAGGTTTGCAACAACTGTGGAAAATGGTTTTCTGAAAAAACTCAATATTGATGACCCACTGTTCAGATTTAAATATGGGTAGACCAAGAAAGTCGTTCAAGTGTGTAAACGTTGTAATATAGCATGAATAAAACAAACTGAAAATTATCATAAATACAGCAAATTCCAAATCTGTGTCGCGAAAGGTTTCATTAAAAAGCTAAAGAGTATATTATACATATATTTGAAAAAATTAGGAATTTTTTTCACAGTTTGCGAAAATTTGAAAAAACTATCAATGCATGTTGAAACATCTCAGCTAAAATTTCGCCTAATAACGTTGAATGAAACTATTTCAAAAGATTGGTTCAATTAGGTTTCTCCAACGAGTTAAAATCATTCAAAAAGAAAAGATGAAAAATGGTGTGAGAAGCAGCAGATAAAACAGAAAATTTTAATTGAATGATTCAGAGCACATATCAGTTTAAACGGATATCCCATTGCAAAAAAAATCACAATTTTACTGACGAGGTCAATTTAATTAAGTTCGTATCAAACCTTTGAAAAGAAATCACCAAGTCACTTATGCTCTAAAAGACAAACTGGAGAAGAAGTTTTGGGAACTTTCTACAAAATGAAGCTCGTTACCTACAAATTTTCTGATGACCGCTCACGACGCCCCCACTTGATGGCAGTCAAACAAAGGCATACATTTATTCAACCAATTGTTTGATTTTTAAAAATTTACAATTCAGTCGTAGTCAATCGAAGATCTGTCTGTCGGTCTGTCTGTCTGTCTGGCTGTTCCGAATACTTGATGTTTAGATAATGAATATCATTTCAGTCACATAGAAAAGATAATTAATGGATGCTGGATCATGGATACGAATTAAAGGATAGGAATGATAATTATTAGGGATGGAAGCTGGTTCTGAAGCACCGCAGTGGATACGGTAGTGGATTAGGCTCAGCTAACCGCATAGGCTTCAAATCTATTGCAATTCATTATGCTAAAAATAGGTTATCCTAGTGACAAGAAATTTTTATCAGCCAATGCTGTTAGAAATGTTGGACGAACCAAAAGCGGCTATTAAATGTTAAGCCAAAAGCTACTATAAAAGATTTTTGAAGAGTACATTTAAAAAACAAGTAGGAGAAGGAGCACGCCATGTCGAAGCGTTCCAAAGACAACAAAAAAGAAGGTGGCCAACTGACTCAACAAGCGCACCATTTCTACCAATTAAAACAAACTTATAGGCTCATCAAACGAACAAGAGAAAAGCAACCAGGAAACAAAGCAGACAAGACTTTTTTTGCCAAAACTAGTCGATAATGCATCGCGATGAGACGGTAAGGAGGGAGAGGACCCTCAAGTTCTTTTTTTCACATCTGAGCCCCCTATATGGGTAATTCGTTCAACCCTTGGTCAACAAAAAGCACGGGATGACAATGGAAGAATTGTGGCTAACTTCTTATAAAGATCGTTCAGTTTTTTTTACAGAAGCAGATCAATGAAAAAACCGGGTACAAAACAACAGACGGATACGAGATCATCGTTGAGGCATGTGAGCACATTTGGGAGTGTGACTATCATACCTTAGTAACAGATCTAGATAACAATGATGACAACAGCACAACGCTTTCCTCTTCTAAATTGCCGAAATCGATTGTTTCTAAAAGCGCCTACTACACACCTTTAAGTGCACGAGATGCATTTGTGGGCGGTAGGACTGAAAACTTTTGCCTTCATTGGATAAAATGAGATATAAATCAACACTTTCGTTACGCTGACATTTGTTCTCTTTATCCCTAAATTAACGCAAACTGTTCCTACCCCGTTGAACATCCATTGGAGATTTTAATTAAACCTGTTTTTGCTGAGATAGGAGCAAAAAGGAAGACGACAATTAATTTACGCTTGATCTGAGAACCTTCGATCAAAAAATTATACTGAAAGTTCCCGGCTCTAATTAATGTCAACCGAGAAGTTAAGTCGAAGATAGAATCTTAAAAACTTTTGGTTTGGAAGCATTAAAGTTCGTCTTGCCGCCGGGTAATCTAATGATACCTGTCCTCGCTTTCAAGCTTTTCTTTCATTTTCAAATAAGCTGCGTCGAAGAATCTGCTGTTAACAAAAAACGCCAAATCGTTTGTGAGACCATATTGCAACTTGAATACAAACATGGAAACAATCATCTCGACCGATCTTTTTGGGAATTTTTTTGTAACAGTTGAAATCAAATTTGCGTTTTTAAATGGCTATCGAGTATTAGATATCCTAGAGGTGTATTAAAGGAAACCGTGAAAACAAAAGCAGTTACCCTTTCAAAAAACATAAATTTTTTGTTGAAAATTAAAACTGAAGCAAGTAGACTTTTGCAGCATTTTGAACTCAACGAGGACTCAAGGTTGGATCCTGACAAAATTTGTTACATGAAGGTCTCCATTTCATTTCCAACCTTCTCTTGAATTTCTTTCGGGGACATCATAGAAAGAACGAAACATACAATATTTTAATATATCTTCAATTACATTGATGTTTTGGAACATTTCACTTCAAATTGAACAATGAGCACCACAAGAAGGTTAGATGCAAACCATGTCGGATATGACTTGATGTATCCACATTAAAAATATATTGTTTTTGCTGCTATTCTGTTCAAAAACCAATGTTTTGCAGGCTATATTTACAACGGTACATGCACGTACTGTCCTCTACAGGTACATGAAGCGAGTGAAAAAGACTACAAATATACTGTATTGTGACACAGACAGCATTTTGTACTTTGCTCAAACGGAATCGACGACGGGGACACAGAACAGAGACATCCCATTAAGAAACACTTCGGGGCATGACAGATGAAACTCCAGAAAACATTGAGTTTTTGAAATTTTATAGATTTTTGTTAAAATCAAAATAACTTCTCGCTGACTCTCTTTTTATTCGATCTGCAGCAAAAATCTTAATTTATTTTTAGTGCGATTCTTAATTACAATTTTCTCTCACTTTCAAATTGTTTGTCAGAAGGAATTTTGAGCTCGTTGCAACACAAAATTAACTCGTTTCATCTTCTTCCCAAACCCTACGCATAAAGAAAAAGCTGGTAAACAGACAGCGTGGAATGGTGAAAGAAAGATTTGGAAAGATTGAAAGAGAAAAGCATCACTAATATGATGGGCTCTCAATTTACAAGTGTTACACTTATTATATAAATCCCGAGAAGGATGGCGGCAATCAGTCTCATTATATTTCAGATGAATGCGAAGATCAGATGTGCAATGGCTTCTATGGTAAATGTCTTTTTTTCTTGAGTGGTCCAGAACACTTGGATCGCAATCAAACTGCCTTCAATCATCTATCATTTGCAATTTTTATTTTTTCGAATGGCATCAAAGCATGATTGTTCAGAATGTTACAGCACAGAGCGTCATCTATGATTTGCAAAAAGTTTCGAATATGGTCCGCGAGTTCTTCTATCCAAAAAAACGAGAAATAAGTCAGCTATATAAACAAGAAACAAGAAGACGGTTTGCCGCCAGAAACCGACTGGGAAGCAATCATGTATTTTTTTCAGTTAATTATAAGACTCTACCTTTTTTGTGTTAGTGGTTGTAATTGTCAGTCATCTATCCATATATCCAAATATCTCTTTATAAAATCGTCATTTGAATCTGTTTTTTTTTTCGTAGCAACCATATGATTGGATCAACTATCCACCATTCAGTTCAAACCTACTCTAATTTTAAAAATCTTCTGTTATTGTTTGACTTCATTGCTATGTTTTTTATTCAGATCATTGACTCTTATCACGCTTTCACCCCGAGATTTTGCCCGAGTGTGAGCGCAAAAAGCTGTTGACAGCTTGGTTTACGTAAACTGCCGTTCAATTTTGTAATTTATTGTGCGACGAGGACGAGCAAATAAACGACGGCAACGATTACATGTTAAGTATTGACAGTGAAGGCAAAAATTGTAATATGCTTTTGAGATTGGATGCATCTGATACTGATGTTTCTCTTATTCAGAACTTTGCTATTTTAATACAATTTCTCTTATCACAGAAATGAGGGCAAAAGAATGCATCAACAAGGATAGCAGCAGCAATTGATAAACAGTATGTCGCTACAAAAAAAGATTTACACAGAGCAGCAGCAGTATTAACAACTAAGAAAGACAACACAAGGCAATGTTTCGTTGCAGGATCCACGAGTTAGTACTTCTTCTAGTGCGTTTGATGCTGTTTTAAGGAACGAACTCAACAAAAAGTTTTGTCTCTCGCCAATTGTTGAACTACTTACGTACATCTTCCTTATCAGTGGTAATTAAAGTGGCAAGCACGGTGAACAACCAGCAGATTCGTCAACATCCGATGCATTTGAGAGCCTCGTTTGATGACAATGACGGAAAAATAATTTTTCTATGAGACAATTTCTGATTTCAATTGTGTATTATTTTATTGTCGCTGTTGCTTCATTACTTTATTTATTATTTGAAAACAGATAATGGTTGTCTGTTAGAATTAATCAATATTTTCCCAATTTTTTTAAATATTTAGGTCAGGCAAACTGTTTGTGTTTGTGTGTGTGAGTGTGTGTGTGTGTGTGTGTGCGTTTTTGTGCATGTAGTTTTTGATCAACCAGCAAATGTAAGGCTGGAAAAACTTTTTTTTAATCGAACTGATAATGATGATTTTTATTCAATTTTGATTCTTTTCAAGTCCTGATTGATCAATTGCTTTCTTTCGGAGAACTGGTCGACGACCGCATGTCGATGACCACCAAACCAAACGCCCCTGTAGCAAACCTTAACAACGCGTTGAACGCCGAGGAATCTAACTGGCAGTTTTCCGGTGATGTAATTGGGTGCTTGGCTTGTTGATATACTTGGTAATCAATAACCGTAGCAGCAGCAGAAGCAAAAAAAAACGAAAAACGGGAAGAAAAAAGTTAATTCCTCCGTTCCCTTTTGAGCCAAAAAATGTCTATGATAATGACAACGACAATCAGGACGATAAATGAAAATTTTGGTGATGACGACGACATTTTCTGTTAGTGGTTGTAATTGTCAGTCATCTATCCATATATCCAAATATCTCTTTATAAAACCGTCATTTGAATCTGTTTTTTTGTAGCAACCATATGATTGGATCAACTATCCACCATTCAGTTCAAACCTACTCTAATTTTAAAAATCTTCTGTTATTGTTTGACTTCATTGCTATGTTTTTTATTCAGATCATTGACTCTTATCACGCTTTCACCCCGAGATTTTGCCCGAGTGTGAGCGCAAAAAGCTGTTGACAGCTTGGTTTACGTAAACTGCTGTTCAATTTTGTAATTTATTGTGCGACGAGGACGAGCAAATAAACGACGGCAACGGTTACATGTTAAGTATTGACAGTGAAGGCAAAAATTGTAATATGCTTTTGAGATTGGATGCATCTGATACTGATGTTTCTCTTATTCAGAACTTTGCTATTTTAATACAATTTCTCTTATCACAGAAATGAGGGCAAAAGAATGCATCAACAAGGATAGCAGCAGCAATTGATAAACAGTATGTCGCTACAAAAAAAGATTTACACAGAGCAGCAGCAGAATTAACAACTAAGAAAGACAACACAAGGCAATGTTTCGTTGCAGGATCCACGAGTTAGTACTTCTTCTAGTGCGTTTGATGCTGTTTTAAGGAACGAACTCAACAAAAAGTTTTGTCTCTCGCCAATTGTTGAACTACTTACGTACATCTTCCTTATCAGTGGTAATTAAAGTGGCAAGCACGGTGAACAACCAGCAGATTCGTCAACATCCGATGCATTTGAGAGCCTCGTTTGATGACAATGACGAAAAAATAATTTTTCTATGAGACAATTTCTGATTTCAATTGTGTATTATTTTATTGTCGCTGTTGCTTCATTACTTTATTTATTATTTGAAAACAGATAATGGTTGTCTGTTAGAATTAATCAATATTTTCCCAATTTTTTTAAATATTTAGGTCAGGCAAACTGTTTGTGTTTGTGTGTGTGAGTGTGTGTGTGTGTGTGTGTGCGTTTTTGTGCATGTAGTTTTTGATCAACCAGCAAATGTAAGGCTGGAAAAACTTTTTTTTAATCGAACTGATAATGATGATTTTTATTCAATTTTGATTCTTTTCAAGTCCTGATTGATCAATTGCTTTCTTTCGGAGAACTGGTCGACGACCGCATGTCGATGACCACCAAACCAAACGCCCCTGTAGCAAACCTTAACAACGCGTTGAACGCCGAGGAATCTAACTGGCAGTTTTCCGGTGATGTAATTGGGTGCTTGGCTTGTTGATATACTTGGTAATCAATAACCGTAGCAGCAGCAGAAGCAAAAAAAAACGAAAAACGGGAAGAAAAAAGTTGATTCCTCCGTTCCCTTTTGAGCCAAAAAATGTCTATGATAATGACAACGACAATCAGGACGATAAATGAAAATTTTGGTGATGACGACGACATTTTCTGTTAGTGGTTGTAATTGTCAGTCATCTATCCATATATCCAAATATCTCTTTATAAAACCGTCATTTGAATCTGTTTTTTTTTGTAGCAACCATATGATTGGATCAACTATCCACCATTCAGTTCAAACCTACTCTAATTTTAAAAATCTTCTGTTATTGTTTGACTTCATTGCTATGTTTTTTATTCAGATCATTGACTCTTATCACGCTTTCACCCAGAGTTTTTGCCCGAGTGTGAGCGCGAAAAGCTGTTGACAGCTTGGCTTACGTAAACTGCTGTTCAAATTTGTAGTTTATTGTGCGACGAGGACGAGCAAATAAACGACGGCAACGATTACATGTTAAGTATTGACAGTGAAGGCAAAAATTGTAATAAGCTTTTGAGATTGGATGCATCTGATTCTGATGTTTCTCTTATTCAGAACTTTGCTATTTTAATAGAATTTCTCTTATCACCGAAATGAGGGCAAACGAATGCATCAACAAGGATAGCAGCAGCAATTGATAAACAGTATGTCGCTACAAAAAAAAGATTTACACAGAGCAGCAGCAGAATTAACAACTAAGAAAGACAACACAAGGCAATGTTTCGTTGCAGGATCCACGAGTTAGTACTTCTTCTAGTGCGTTTGATGCTGTTTTAAGGAACGAACTCAACAAAAAGTTTTGTCTCTCGCCAATTGTTGAACTACTTACGTACATCTTCCTTATCAGTTGTAATTAAAGTGGCAAGCACGGTGAACAACCAGCAGATTCGTCAACATCCGATGCATTTGAGAGCCTCGTTTGATGACGATGACGAAAAAATAATTTTTCTATGAGACAATTTCTGAATGAATTGTGTGTTATTTTATTGTCGCTGTTGCTTCATTCCTTTATTTATTATTCGAAAATAGATAATTGTTGTCTGTTAGAATTAATCGATATTTTCCCAATTTTTTTAAAATATTTAGGCAAACTGTTTGTGTTTGTGTGTGTGAGTGTGTGTGTGTGTGTGTGTGTGTGTGTGTGTGTGTGTGTGTGTGCGTTTTTGTGCGTGTAGTTTTTGACCAACCAGCAAATGTAAGGCGGGAAAAACTTTTTTTTAATCGAACTGATAATGATGATTTTTATTCTATTTTGATTCTTTTCAAGTCCTGATTGATCAATTGCTTTCTTTTGGAGAACTTGTCGACGACCGCATGCCGATGACCGCCAAACCAAATGCCCCTGTAGCAAACCTAAACAACGCGTCGAACGCCGAGGAATCCAACTGGCAGTTTTCCGGTGATGTAATTGGGTGCTTGGCTTGTTGATATACTTGGTAATCAATAACCGTAGCAGCAGCAGAAGCAAAAAAAACGAAAAACGGGGAAAAAAAGTTGATTCCTCCGTTCCCTTTTGAGCCAAAAAATGTCTATGATAATGACAACGACAATCAGGACGATAAATGAAAATTTTGGTGATGACGACGACATTATCCAACTGCAGCAACAAGAGGAACGAATGTGCGAACGAGCAAGCGAAGAAAAAGAAGGAGCAGGCAAAGAGAAAAAGACAAAAATTGGTTTTTCTTATCTCTTGACTTTTTGTGTTTTATATAAGTTGG